TAGAGCCAGTTATGGTGAGGTATGACAGTCACTATTGCTCTTTGGGGTTAAATTGCACATTATTATGCAAAACCGCATGTCAGATCAAGGAAAAACAAATGATGCATAAAAATCATATGTACCTAGGGTTTCCATCTTCTGCCGGCGGCGGGGGCGGGGGTGCGGGAGGAGGCAGTGGCGGAGGGAGGGAGCAGGGGGAGACGGGTTGGAGCGATGGTAGATCGATGTGGGCCTACGCCATCAAAGGAGGGACTGAGACGAGGGTTTGGTTGCGCCACATGTCGTGGTTCTAAGTCTGACAGTAGTGTAGGGGGGTAGGTATGGAGAGGCAAGATCCTAGCTATGGAGTAGTTGTATACGCAATGGATTTACGAGTTCAGGCCCTTCTCGGAGGAAGTAACAGCCCTACGTCTCGGAGCCCAGAGGCGGTCAACTGGATTATGTGCGTATGAGTTACAGGGGTGCGAACCATTTACACTGAGGAGGGGGTGGCTTATATAGAGTCCGCCAGACCCCTCCGGCCCTCAGTTATGCAGGGTTTAAGATACATTAAGATCGGGCGTTACTGGTAACACTACAAATAAAGTGCTATGATGACCATAAAAGCTACTCAATGACCGACCGTTTGCATGCAGAGGAACTTTAGATCTCCCGGCCGTCGAGTGGTTGGCTTCATGGTCGAGTGGTTGGTTTCATGGTCGAGTGTCTTCAAGTCTGTCGAATGGAACACTTCTGAGTCGATTGACAGGCGGTTTCTTCTAGAGATGTCCTTGGGTAGGGTAGTTTGGACAGGTCCATGACCCTACCCTAGGTACATAGCTTCATCATTAGCCCCCGAATGGATCGAGGTTTGAGTGGAGAAGGAGTTGAGAACTCTTCCGACCCATTTTTCGTGCTATGAGTATATCTTGTTCTGGACCCATGGACCTAAATAACGACACCAACTTCTTTTTCGGTCGCCTTGATCCATTCTTGGTTTCAGTCGAGTGAGTTTCTTTCCTTGTAAAGCTCCGAGTGGTGGTGTGGAGGAGATCCTCCGTCTCACAAGTTGTTCTGCTGCTCACGGATTCTGCGGGATTCGAATTTTGGGAAGCGCGCGGGGCAGAGGAGGCCGCAGTAATCGGATGGGATAAGGCAGGGATGCCTCGATCTTTGCGCCACCTTTTTTGCCACGTATCGCGTGCGCGACTGTTGTGGGATTTGACAGGATCGCCCGGGCCTACAAGTCAGTCACTCGGAAGTAACCTCATATAAGGCGCCGGACGGGGGTGTTTGAATAGTGCGTTCTCATTTCCTCCTCTCTTCCCCAGACTTATCCGCCGCGTTCGCCTCCTTCTCAGTGCCGCTGCCCCGTGCGCGTCTCGCTGGCGACGATGGTGAAAGAGAAGATGGCGGCCCTGGAGCGGGCGAAGAAAGCGACGGCGAATGCGAAGGGAAGGGCGACTAGTCGAGGCGGATCTTCATCGAGGGCCGGCCTGCCGCAGGGCTGGATCTAGGGCGACTGGATCCGCTCGACGATTCGTCAAGCAGATCTTGACGACCTGGCCGATGGAGGACTGATCCCCCATGGATCGGTGCGGCTCCCGGGGAAGGAGTCTGAGCTGCAGCCTCAGGAGGGTGAGTGCATTCTCTTGGTCACCCATGTCGACCGTGGGTTTTCTTTGCCGCCTCACCCTTTCTTTCGGGGATTTCTGAATTTCTCTGGGGCGCAACTCCACCACTTCACACCCAACACCATCGTGTACCTCACTGCTTTCGTGTCTTTGTGCGAGAATTTCTTGGGTTGTCGGCCTCATTGGGGTCTTTTCAAGCACATCTTCACCTGTCGCTCCCACACGGTGAAAAAGGCCAATCCGAGTGACGAGAGAACACAAGTGATTCAGATGTGTGGGGATCTTGGGGTTCAAATGAGAGGAAAAAGCTCCTTTCCGTCCATGATCCTATCCGACTCGGTCCATGGATGGCAGTCGACCTGGTTCTACTGCAAAGACCAGCCGATGCCAATGGAACGCCAATGGAAAAAGGAGGGAGTCCGACCACTTTGAAGGTGATCCCGGAAGAGAAGGCGCAGGTTAAGGTGCTGGTCGAGCGTGTCGTCCAGCTTATCCGTGACGGGGTGACCGGCATGGACCTCTTGGAGGTCTTCCTCCGACGATGCATCCAGCCGCTTCAAGCTCGAGACCATCCGATGTGGTTGTATTCTGGCACTGAGGATAGCACTCGGATCCACCCGGAGGAGATTGACGATGCCACGCTGGAGAGGTGGCTGGCGAGCATCATAGGGAACAAAGACAACCCTCGGGGAGCCAGGAGGATTCCTCCACTCGACCAATCATACGAAGTAGACAAGGTCTAATTCTGCATCTCTGACTGTGATCCTGCTTTATTCATTTTGTTTGCTTAAAATCAGTCGACTGACTTTTGTCTTGTTTGTTGTCTTCTAGGCCACGACTGAGATGTACTCGATGCCCAACGGGGCGCAAGAACAGGCCGAGGAGGGAGAGGCGAGTGGAGGTGAAAGTGAGGAGGAGTGGCAATCTGATGGTGAGGGGGAAGAGGATGACGACGGCTCCAGCAAAGAGGAGGAGGAGGAAGTCGATCCTCCTCGCACGGAAAGGTGATCCAAGCTCGCCCACGACCCCGCGAGCGAGCGTGACAAAGCTATAAGGGCATTATTGTCCCTATGTAGTTTTGGTGATTGATGACAATGCCTTTGCGGACTGATCGTGTGTATTGAGCTTTTCAGATATATCACGACTAAACACAAGACGATTTGATGCCCCTCGGAGATTATAGAAGACGACCTTTCTCTACGGTTTGGTTCGGTGGAGTTGAGTCGTAGGAAAGCCATACTATTAAGAGGGGGTCCGCTTTGGAAAGGTTTGGGTGGAATCTCACGTACACATTCCCTTTTGCATCGCCTTTCCTCGAGCTCCTCAGAGTGTTCCTCCGTCTCACCGTGTCTCTGCGAAATGAAGGCCTCAGTCTTGCTCTTCTCAGGCTAGCGGTAGTACTGCTCTTTTGAGCGGTACTACCGCAGGAGCCAGCGGTAGTACCAGGCTCCGGCACGGTAGTACCATAGGCTCCCACGGTAGTACCGCTCTTTCGAGCGGTAGTACCGCGAGCTCTGGTCTGGCTCCGCTCTCAAGCGGTGGTTGGCACGGATGTAATTTTTTACATCCGCGCTCCTAGCGGTAGTACCGTGCTGAGGCGCGGTAGTACCGTGGCACCAGGCTAGGTTCCGGAGCAGGAGCGGAGGTAGGGGCGGATGTAATTTTTTACATCCGCACCCTTCACGGTAGTACCGCACCCTCGGTCGCGGTAGTTCCGTGTCGGATTTTTGCACGACATTTTCTCAGCGGAGGTAGTCACGGATGTAATTTTTTACATCTGTGCCTACAAGGCCTGGCCCGTGTCTGCCTTGCAGAAGTACCGCATGGGGCCACGGTAGTACCGCTCCTGCGGATCTACCGCGCCCTGTCGGTGCTCCTTTTGCCTCGTCAGGTCTCTGCCGTGCTCACGGTAGTACCGCGGTCCACCGCGGTAGTACTGCAAGCCAGTGCGGTAGTACCGCGCCTGTGGAGTGGTAGTTCCGTGGGCTGCGGGCTGAGTGGTGGGCAACGGTTGGAATTGTCCCCCCACTATAAAAGGGGTCTTCTTCTCCAAGAAGACTTACCTCTTCCAACCCTAAACTCCATTGTTGCTCCAAGCTTCATTTTTGGCTGATCTCTCTCCCTAGCCAATCAAACTTGTTGATTTGCTCGGGATTGGGTGACAAGGCCCCGATCTACACTTCCACCAAGAGATATTCGATTCCCCCCACTAATCCCTAGCGGATCTTGTTACTCTTGAGTGTTTGAGCACCCTAGACGGTTGAGGTCACCTCGAAGCCATACTCCATTGTGGTGAAGCTTCGTGGTGTCGTTGAGAGCC